AAGAGATTATTTTGCTTTACAATTTACAAGTATCCAATGATTGTGTCATAGCCGAAATATCAGATGCTAAAGTCTCTTATTAAGTAAGATCTGCTTTCTGCTGTGTTCAGGAGTCTTGGAGTGGGAAATGAGTAAATAGGAAAGCCCTTAAGATGAGAGAGAGAGAGAGAGATTGAGAGAGAGAGAGAGAGAGAGAGAGAGAGAGAGAGAGAGAGAGGGAGGAGAGGGTAGGAGGCAAGAGAAAGGGACAAAGGCATTTCATAAACGTCAAAGAATAGGCCCTAGAATCCTAACGGGTGCAGAAAACAGTCCAACCAAGCATCTAACTCAGCAGCTTCCACGTGCTTCAAATATTAAGCCAAATAACTGGAGATAGAAGATTTTCACAGCAAGGCAATGGGAGGCAACTCTGCCAGGGCTGGAATGTAGTGAGCAACTCTTTGCCCCTGAATTTTAACTCAGCATGGAGTGTTAAGAATGTGAACCGGGTGAAGTGAAATGTCTTCCCATTTGAATATCTGTAGAGAAAAGGTTCAGAGAATAAAATGATTTCTGCCATTTTTAGAGGGGAAAAAAATGGTATGGCTTAAAAACATGCAATTTAGAATTATTTATTAAAGTGTAAATTCTAATATTTGCTTTTTTTCCCAATTTTATCATAAGCAAACATTTCTTTTACAGTCTTGGATTCTATTTTTATGCCATGAGGCCAATCAACTGCATTGAATAATGCATATCTGACATGCTATGAAAAAAAATATTGGATGCATTAAAGAATGAAGGATGTTCTGTAAAGCATAAAAAGTGAACCATTAATATTTTTTTAAAAGTTGTTCCTACAAAGAGAAAAACTATTTAGCCTAGTTAGCTAAATAAATGAGAATTTCTAAAACATTCTGAGGTAGCTCATGTACCTCTTATTTAAAAGAAAAAGCATTCTCTGTTGAAGTGTAATATACACAGAAAAGTTTAAAATCACAAGAAACAGTTCAATTAAATATTACAAGGTGTACACATCAGTTTAAATCAGCATTCAAGTCAAGAAAAACATTATCAGCACCGCAAAAATTCCCTCATGTTCTTCATCACAGTCCTTTCTCGTCTCCCATAAGATAAATCCTTCATTACTTCTAAAACCATAGATTCAATTTAACTTTTGAACCTTATATAAATTTTTAAAAATGTAGTATATTTTTGTGTCTGTTTTTCTCAATATTATTGTTGTGAGATTCATCCATATTTTTGCTTATAGCTGTATTTTGTGTGTTTGTGTACATGCATTTTATTGTATAAATGAACCATAGTTTATCCATTCTTGGGACAGACATTTAGACTTTTTAAAATTTGGGCTGCTTTTTTAAATACTGCTGTGCATATTACATGTATGTTTCTTGACATATATGTGCATGCTCTTCTTTTGGGTACATGTTAACAGCGGAAGTGCCAGGTCATAAGGTGTTCATGTGCTGAAGTTTAGGAGATACTGCCAACCGTTTTCCAAATTGGTTGAACCAATATTCTCTCCCACGGGTAGTAGATGAGAGTTTCCACTATTATTATATTATCAATCTGGTGGGTGTGTAATGGTATTTCATTGAAGTGTTAATTTAATTTGCATCTCCTTGATTACTAGTGAGTTATGTACAGGCCCACATCTTTTCATTTTATTCTTTATTACTTATTTATTTATTTATTTTTGAGACAGAGTTTTACTCTTGTTGCCCAGGTTGGAGTGCAATGTCATGATCTTGGCTCACTGCAACCTCTGCCTTGTGGGTTCAAGTGAGTCTCCTGCCTCAGCCTCCTGAATAGCTGGGATTACAGGTGCCTGCCACCACGTCTAGCTAATTTTTTGTATTTTTAGTAGAGTTGGGGTTTCTCCATGTTGGTCAGGCTGGTCTCGAACTCCTGACCTCAGATGATCCACCCACCTCAGCCTCCCAAAGTGCTGGGATTACAGGTGTAAGCCACCGCACCCAGCCCATCTTTTTAATATAAATCTAAGATTTAATTTATGCAAAAAAACCCTTATAATTAGCATACTGCAGATAAGTTTTTTAACTTTGACCTTTAGTACTTTACGTTAAATGCAAACAATTCTTTGCTGGAGTGTGGTCCTGGACGTTCATCAACCTTCAAAATATTAACCCATTTTCTTCTAGTTATTTGGGTCTTTTCAGGGGTATAGTTATAAAAACAAAGTGCTTCAAAATTTTACATGAGAAATTACATTTTAATTTTGGTTTTCAAATTTAGTTAATAAATAAGCTATTTTGGTCAAATCAAATCTATTTACAAGTATTAGACAATGTAGTCCCTTTGCCAACTAGTAAAATTCTCTCCAGATCATCATTTCTTACATTTTCTAGTTCCCATGGGAACTACCTGGGCCCCATTTCAGACCTATGAATTAAAATCTAGGAGTGGGTGGCAGGGAAAGGCACTGGAATTTTCATCTGCAAATAAGTTACCTATATGATTCTATAATTAATTATATCCACCATGGCAACCTTTGAATAATGACATAATAAGAAAATGTTGCAAAGAAACATCAGCAGACGGCCGGGCGCGGTGGCTCAAGCCTGTAATCCCAGCACTTTGGGAGGCCGAGGTGGGTGGATTACGAGGTCAGGAGATCGAGACCATCCTGGCTAACATGGTGAAACCCCGTCTCTACTAAAAATACAAAAAACTAGCCGGGTGTGGTGGCGGGCGCCTGTAGTCCCAGCTACTAGGAGGCTGAGGCAGGAGAATGGCGTGAACCTGGGAGGCGGAGCTTGCAGTGAGCCGAGATGGCGCCACTGCACTCCAGCCTTGGTGACACAGCGCGAGACTCCGTCTCAAAAAAAAAAAAAAAAAAAAAAAAGAAACATCAGCAGACTTCTGTTTCATCAGACAGCTCATCAGCCCCAGTGGATGAAATTTTAAAGCAGTTGAGGGCAATATTAAAAGAGTTTTTATGAATTAGAGGTATCTTGCAACCTGCCTAAAGAAGGTTGTTCTTCAGAGGTGTCTTCATTGAATGGGAGGCTGTCCTGGATGATCACATAGACTGCTGTTGATACATTCTTCATAAAGAAAAACAGCATTTGTGTTGTGTGCATATGCCCTCCAAGCCTAGAACACAACTACAGAAACCATAATGTATAGCTACTAACACTATGTTAAATTTCAGATCTCCAACTCTCTCACCTTTTGAAAGTGCTATATGTCTTAAATATATCCAAAACCCTTATTAACAGACTTAAACCCTGAATCTCAATGAAGGTACTTGGCATAGTGCAACGGCAAGCATAGGAATGCTTGAAATAAATTTCCATAAATATGAAGCAAGTCTGTCAATAAATTTCTCTCTGATTAAATAAAGGGCTAGATAAACATAAACATGAGAATTATAAATTATGTTTTAATTTTTCTTACCCATTATAATTGTTATATAGCAGGATGAAGTTTATAAATTGTGATTTTTATCTCAGCTAATCTAATATTGCTTCACAATTAAATAGAAATTGCATCTTCTAAACACAAAGTCTAGAATCAATTTAATCAATTATTTTGCATAGGATAATTTGTATTATTAATTTCAATATTTAAGTGTGATAAATGATAATATATCCATATATAAAAACCTAGACATGTTTGCTTTTCAAAAGACAGAAGCAGAATGTCTAATTCTATTGTTAGAGTGGTTGTTATATTATTAACTGGTCTTTGTTTCATTATGCATGTTCAAGGGGTATAGAAATATTTGGGTGAAGTGTTCCTTTGTAATTGAGAAAATTGTCTGTGATGCTCAGTGAGAAATGGCCTTCAAAACAATAGGTTCAGATTACAGGGAGCTTCATGACTGATGGGAAGATTAGTCTCTTACCTTAGAAAAGGATAATAGCCTAGATTTCTGTTATTATTCCCCATGAATGATGGATCAGTTAGTCTCCTAGCTTGCTTTCCTCTTGCAGTTCCATGAGAGGTATAACTTGTCGTTTGCTCACCTGCTTAGGCATGCAGAAGATACCTGGGTTTGTTCTGCTACATGTACAGGGAGGCTTATTTCCACAAACTAAAGTCAGGGGCAGGGGTAGGAGTCCTCTGCTCACCACATGTGGCTGACTGCCACTGTCACTGCTTGAGACTGTCATCACAGCACTTACTACTGTTACTGCTTGGGATCGTCATTACAAGACTGAATGAAGGAGCGAATGTAGAAATGAAAACTTAAGACAAAAGAAACTGCTTTAAGGAAAGGGCCAGGGGAGGAAGAAGAGAGTTCCCTGCTTCTAGTGAGCAAAGGCAACCGCCAAGCTTCTATAGCCTTTCGTATTTATTGGGTAATAAGAGCAGGTCGGCTTCTTAATTGATCACAGGTTCATATTGTAACTGGCAGGCTTCAATTATGCCTAATAATAAGAAACATTTGTGCCTGGATCATGACTGCCCTCAGCAGTCCTTCTGGGTGGCATACACAGTTTGTCAGTTTGACAACATTCTGCATTTATGAAAAACAGTTTGTGGCTTACTCGTATAGCCTTCAGTGGTATACCAATTTGATCACAACCCTAATTCTTTCGGCCTCCAACAACCAAACATTACTCTGTTCTCTGGATGAAAAGAGGAATGGAGGAGGCAACAATAAATGACATCCAAAGAAATGTTAAGCATTTCTGTTCATTTCAAACTATACTTATGTTGTTCATTAGAAAGAAAGCGAAGGGAATTTGTTAACTTAAATATTCAGAACAAAACGAGTTTGTCAGCTAGCATTATAGCAACACAAGCTCTCTCCTCTTAGCCAGAGGAAAATGATGCCTAACTCAAAGAGGAGAATCAATAGCCATTATTAAAGAATTCTACTTTAGGTGTAATTATAAGCTGTTTTTACAAATTTATCTACCTATTGATTGATCATTTTTAAGTAATAAATGAAAGGGTCACCTTTATTATGACTGAAGAAAAATGTCCTGCAATATAATTTTATTTTTCTGTTGTACCTTTTTTTCTAGACGTGTGCCACTACTATTGTGTGAATTCTGAATCATGTACCATTGGGGATGATGGAAGTGTTGAATGTGTCTGTCCAACACGCTATGAAGGACCAAAATGTGAGGTTGACAAGTGTGTAAGGTGCCATGGGGGGCACTGCATTATAAATAAAGACAGTGAAGATATACTTTGCAAGTAAGTGGATATCCAGCTTAATTTATAAAAGCATTTGGACCCCAATGGACATTGTAGTTCAGTAATAAATTGTAAAAACTTTGTAGATAGTTTTTATTCTAAAATTCTGTATTGTGCCCATTGTAGTTTTAATGGCTAGAGAACAAATCTAGTTCATTTTAATTTAACCCTAACTTAATCAACATCTATTGTGAATATCTGGGAATTATGAAAATCTGTTATGTAATAAGATGGTCATATTATTCCCTATACCAAAAATTCCTACGCAAGAAAGGCTGGCATTCAGCATACTTCCAAAAACTGCATGTAATATTATTCAATTAGATTAGCTCAGGCTTTTAATTGTTTCATCATTGTTATTGACAGTAAGTAGGTTTGCTTTTCTGTTGCAAATTGATTTGTCAAAGGAGGAGCAAAAGACCTGTCTAATGAAAACACACATTGATCCTTTTTTTTCTTTTTTTTTTAAATCTGACTTTGAACATTATGATCTAAAGCAAACAGAAGGAATAATGTGTTCTGGGAAGTAATTAAAACAAAACTCTTCGAGGTTGACTTTCATTGCACTGCCTTTTACCCTTTGGCTTTAAGATTAAGTGAATGGAGAACAGAACATCGCAGCTACAGGGTGGTGCCATTCAGTTTCTATTGTGAAACAAGTCTATGCCACTGAGGTTAGAGCTCAATCCTCACTCCAGACCTCTTTTAACAGCTTTTTAAAGGAAGGGCTTATAAAGGACTGGACTCTATCACTTGCCTTGCTTGGGAGTATAATAAATAAGAATATGAGATAGGAAAGCATGCCATAAAGTGTCCATGTCACAGCTTCCACTGAGAGCTCGCCAAGGGTGCCAGATGAGTTATGTTGCTCTGCCAAACAAGGCCCAATAAAATTTTATTACAAACAACATCAACATTTTTTATTTACTCTCATTTTAGAATTTACTCTAAATGTGATTTGTATTATCATTATGAATGACATTTACACAAACCTGCAAAATTGGGATATTTGAAAGTACATTTTTTAGTAAAGTAATTGAAAATATGATTGATATATAAATATCTGCCTTGGATAAGTACATAAAAGTGAAACACACTTTCATATAAACTATCCAAATCATGTTTCCTCATAAAGCTCATTTGTTCTTTGTGATGAAACTGTAGCATGACAGAACTGTATTTCAATTAGTGAGTGTACATTGTTTTCTATGTCCTGGGCACCATATCAGGATAAGCTACGGAATCTTCTTCACAATTCTATTCCACTTACCCCAGAGATCATGGGCTATCATATGAGAAATGGTGTTAGCCAAAGTTTCCTACTCATCTTACCTTGGAAAAGCTCATGTGAATGTGCAGAGCCTCTTCCCTTTATGTAAGGAAGAAAGGGCAGAGCTCAGGGCCCCTCAGTATCGCTTGTTATCCAGTCAAAAATGCCTTCCCCTAAACAGAAACATCAGATTCTCACAATGAGCAGGCTATTGAGGTGTAGCATAAGACTTTGTGTTTTTTAAATGGTCTTTTTGGAAATGTATATGTAGGAATGGATAAATAACAATTGCTAACAATGAGGAGATAGTGGAACTTTTACAATAGGGAGTATAGTAATACTTGATTTATTAAACAGGCTATATAACACTTGAACATGACAATACAAACATAATTCTTTAGATTTTCTGAAATGTGTTAGAAGATTAAAGTTCGTTTTTATTTCTATGATACTTTTCACATTAGCATTAAAATGAAGTTACGGTGCTGTTGGAATTTCTGTTTCATAGGTAAAGAACAGATAGTAAAACAAAATTGCAATAAAATTAATCATTTTTACTTAATTAGGAAAATTCAAGCCATCACGTATATTTGTGATTACAAATAGGCAGTTGTGTTTCTAATGAACAGCCTATGAACTGTTAAGTAGAACAGGTACTCTTATCAAGTATAGTGAGTATAATCTTTAAAACAGAGCCAATTGCATAATTTTCTCTTTTCAGGAAATCAAAGTGAATACTGGTAAGGAAAGACTTGATCATAATCTTGAATAACCTAAATTATGTCTTTTTGATGAGCATTGCCATGGGAATTATTTGTGTGGACTGAATAGTAATTAACTTTTGGAAAATGATGCATCACATATTCTGTGTGTGTGTGTGTGTGTGTGTGCATGTGTGTGAATGCCTCCAAAAAGAAAATTATTATGAAATATGAGCTGCATTCTTTGATGTATTGTAATGATTTAAACTATTTGTATTTCACGTTTAAAATGTCTACAAATTTCTATCTTCAATTTAGGATTCAAACAAAAACTTTAGAAGGAAAAAGAGGCAACATATTCTGTATCCATTGGAAGCAGAGGTTTCAAAGCAATCAATTAGGGTTTTTTTGTCTCTTTTAGATGAGATTTGTTATACAGTTATCTTTTTTTTTTTTTTTGTAGGAAATCATTTAATGTATAATGAGCTAATTTTCCCTTTTGAGGCCGTTCCTTTGGTAAAACAAGAAACTAATTTTTTGACCTTAGGATTTTCAAAGAGGCTGGGCACGGAGGACAAGTAAAAGTCCCTTAGATGCACTTAGTCTATCAGACACCCATACCACTGATTGCTTATTAATTCACTGCATCCATATTAGGGTGCCTCTATAGGTTATAAAGGATGGGATAGTCTTTGTACAAACTTGAGACCACCCTCCCCTTCTCTATGTCTTGTTCTGTTTCCCTATATCTTTATTTCACATCTTATACATAGTTACACTGCTCACTGCTCTTGTTTATCTTGAAAAGAAATGTGATTTCACAATCTAAGCTTTTCAGAAATATCTTCAGATTAAATACCAATGAATGTTAAAAGCAGTTGAGGGAATTTTCAGTAGCTGCACGACCCACATGAGGTCAAATGAACATGCACAGAATAAATAAACTATATGCCAACCAATTATTTTTAGGCATCTCACCTATCATTAGAAATCACCCTATGACAGACGTACTACAACAGATATCCATCGTGGAGAGGATCAAAGTGATCAAACGATATTGTAGCCGGATTATTTTGTCAAGTTTATGTCCAGATGCACTGTGATACCATTGATTGTTTCATAGCAGCTAATACTGACATGACCACATATTCAGAATTGCCAGCATGATCTGCTGTTAATTCTGGTTTTGACCCACAGAGTAGGTCCCTGGATAGTTTGAAATGTTGATGCACATTTCTGCATTCACTCAACAGTTTTCACTGTCCAATCTAATTGTTTGAGTATTTATTTAAAAAATGTAACATGGCAAGTAAAAAATATCTGTGTTTTTCCTAGTATTATTATGTTTATTTTTACGATGTAGCAGTAGTTATTTATTCTTATCCCTAACATGCGATGTGACTTTAAACTTAGAAACATTTTGGTAAGTTTCAAGAAAGCCTGTCTTATTACTTTGTTGTCATGTTGCACATTGCCCCTATAATATAACTGATTTTTTGCTGTTGTTGTTGTTGTTATGAACTACTCCATGTTTTTTATGTTAGAATAAAAATAGTTCGACATTAGTTACAATACATATTCAAAGAGAAACAGTGGAATAAAAGTGGCTACAGGATAACCCTCCACTTTCTTCTGAAATGTGGGGTCTAAAAGTCCTAGCATTCTTTGAAACAGATTTTCCACTTTAGAAGAAAAGCTAAAGCACTTTTTTCCAGAGTACTTGATCATGTGGTTTATCATTCACACAGACGTCACCAAACCCTACTTACATGAAAAAGCAACAAGATATTGATGCTAATGTCCCCCGGAAGTGTAAATGATAGACATTAGAGTATATTTTTTTGCACAAATGTTTATATTAAATGAACTGGTTGAAAATTTGAAAATTATCAGAAGGAAAATTTTATGGCATCATTCTAACATAAATTAAATAAAAACTGCCTCTAGTGGGTCAGACGTCCTGAAAACTTCCTTTTAACCAGCCACTCCATCTCTCCTATATGATGAATATTCTCATCCACAGAGAGTTTATGTCAGTTTTCAGCAATAATGTTGCCAATAACAATGAAATTTTTTTCTTTGTTGTTGCAGCTGCACTAATGGAAAGATTGCCTCTAGCTGTCAGTTATGTGATGGCTACTGTTACAATGGTGGCACATGCCAGCTGGACCCGGAGACAAATGTACCTGTGTGTCTGTGAGTATTTAATCAAGTCATGGGCATTTTATAATAAGCCTTTGTATGTACATGAAATCCCCATTCTATTATTCTCCTTTCCTGGGGTAATTTTAAATGAGTGTTTCATGGACATCTCTGATCAAGTATTGTCCCTCATCAGCTCATGTGCTGCAGAATCTCCTCTTTCATCAAATTGCTAATGATTTCATGAGGAAGAGCTCATTCTGTTCTTAGCATCATACCATTTCAGACATGCATAGACCTTTGAACGTGGAAATGCCAGCGAAAATTGTAATAATTCTATTGACCTTATTCTCATATATGAAGCCCAGAGATAATCATCTTTTATGAATCCTTTGGTACTTATGGCCATTTTTTTCAAAAGAACTTGTAATATTCTTTCAAATGTATAATGCTATTTGATGTTTGTATGAGACATAGACTGTTTTATTATGTAAACCTATTAAGCCCCTGGCTGCTTTAGAATAACTTGAGTGTCTGGGTTTCTCAACACCTAGGAAAAATATTGGGTATATCCATAGTGCTCCTGAGAAAATCTGGAATTTAATATTTTCCCCCCTCCATGATCTGATTATCCAGAGTGGATAATTTGAAATAAAATCATTCAGATTACATGCTCACTTTTGGGAGTTTCATCACTGTTTGACTGGAAGGATGATGCCCACGTATAACCCACATCTGCATCCCGCTCCCGACCTTGTCAGAGTAGCATGTGATGAGTGTGTTTGAGAGAGAAGTGAGCATATCTGGGAACCTTTCGTTCAAATGTTACTATCTCTGTATGAAATGAATTTAAAACATATTTAGCAACAAAAAAGTCAGACGCTTTATTTAGCTGTATTTTACTGAAATTCTGCAGATGCTCTGTGGGGTTTAAAAGTCAGCGCTGTGACCAGAAAGAGAACCCTTGTGATCACTACTGTCAGAATGAGGGGATTTGCACTTTAACTGCGTTTAATGAGCCGAGATGCAAGTAGGTTTAACCTTCCACTTACCGCTGCGCTTCGTGTGACATCATTTCAGGCCACAGTTCATTGGTTTAAATCATGAACATCCACATGCATTTCACAGAGTATACTTAATCTCGGGGCTCATCTGTGTCATACACACTTAACCTTTGCTTCACTCACCAACAAGTGTGTGCACCACAGACTGCTAGAGTGTCTAGAAATATAATACATGTAAAAGCTCGTGGAACTGTTTAATAAAAATACATTTGCTAGAAAAGAGTAGCTTTTAATTAGAGAAGTACAGAAGAAGGTGTTTTAAGACTATTTCTGTATACTATATTCGGAATGCTAATTTTTATTTAGTAACTGACTTTTTATTTCAAACACAGATGAAGTGCTATATTTTGTTTTCCAAAATTTTACTGAGAACTGCCCTACCTTCATCAGTAAGACCCTCTTTACAGATGAAAAGTCTTAGAGTAAGACCTTTTTTACAGTCTGAAAAATATTCAGAAACTTTGTTTCTTAATACTTTAAATCATTCTTTCTTGATTCAGTTTGTAGTGTTTTGAACATATATGCAAAGTAAACTCATCTCCTCTGAGAAATTTCTAGGATCACCTTTGGGGTAACTGTCAATGTTCATCACAATGGAAATTATTTTTGCATTGTGCCTTTGAGCTTTAGAGATCAATCATATCTGGCATATAATCCTTAATAACCAGTGTCATAATGAGTAGCCCTGATTGGAATCTGATCACTTCCAGTAATCTCAAAGTATCTAGTAGTGGTTTTAAAGCACAATTGTATTAAAATTCAGGTATTTTATTACCAAAATGCTACTATTTTATTCATAATGAATTGCTGAGACTTGAGGCAGAGGCTTGAGCTGAAGGAGTTTTGTGGTGAAGGTGATACTTGTTGGCATGTAAAGGAAAGTCTTGTAGATCACCCACAGGGACTCTACATCAAAAGGTTTGACCACACTTCAATTAACAAGTGATTAGGGCTTGAACTTGGGTATTGCAACAAGAGAAAAGAATGAAGAGAACAATAGATTCATTAACATTTCAGAGTTAGTATATCTAAGGTTCTCCTTGGCCAAAAATTGATTCAGGTACTTATTTTATTTCTATTTTAGAACACCAGTAATGCTTCCTCTGAATCCCAGTCTTCGTTTGTTCTGCCCCTGTCTCACTAATTCTGGGCAAAATATATCCATTTCAGGCCCACCTTCCCCACCCAAAAATAGATCTCAGGATGACTCCCTGTCCAGAGAACGTACCTGTGTTACGAGAATAAAAATCTCTCATGGGTGTAGCAGCCCACATTGATTTTTTTTTTCCACTTTGTGCTCTTACTAAGTATCATCAAAGTCATACAATTTAAAAATAATTGGCCTAACTGATAAACACATCCAGGAAAAAATATATTAATTGTGGGAGTTTAGAGCAACCTCTCCTACTTTTGTGTACTTGTGTCTCTATCTCTGTTTGTATCTTTGGAAATGTGTGTACCTTGGTCTTCTATGCCTTAAAATCTATTCTGATAGTGGGCATAATGTGTATACAATCAACCCTCTATATCCCTACACTCCACATTTGTGGGCTCAACCAAGTGCAAATCAGAAGTATTTGGAAAGAAAAATTGTGTCTGTGCTGACCCCATACAGACTTTTTCTTTCCAAATTTTTCTGTGCAGACTTTCCCAAGTTGTTATTCTCTAAATAATACAGCAAAACAACTATTTACATAGCATTTACATTGTATTAGGTATGATAAATAATCTGGAGATGTTACACATATAGCGGAGGGTGTGCATAGCTTATATGCAAATACGATGCCATATTTTTTATCTGGGACTTGAGCCTCCGAAGATTTTGGTATCCAAGGAAAGTCTTGGAACCAGTTCCCCACAGATACTGAAGACGACTCTACTGCATTCCTCACCTACTTAAACCATATAAGAAGCAAGGAAGAATTACACTCTGTTATTGTTTATTCATCAATTCCTTTACTAAATATTTAGTAATAATCTATGATGAATAAGTCTCTGTAAAATTTTGAAGTCAATGACAGCTAAAACTGACCTAGCAAATACTCTGTACCATGTACTGTGTTAAGCCCTATACACATTTTATGTATGTAGACTGTTAACCATAAGTATTACTATTATTATCTAATTGTTATTCCATTTTCATAGATTATAACATTAAGGTCACACACTAGGAAGGGGTCTGAGACTCAGACCAGTCCTGTTCAATTCTAAAGTCCGTACCCTGGTTAAAATTCTTACACTGCATTGCAGTCTTTATGCTGTAACAATCTCAATAGTTTTTACTTTAGAGGAACTTAAAATTCATTTTGGGAAGATGAATCGCTTTTAGAAAATTAAAATATCATTTGATAATTATTATAATAGAAATATGACCAAAGTGCTCTGGGAAAACAATTGAATAGAGATGAATGAATGATTCCTAGTAGGAGAGTGGGAGGCTTTATACATGGAGACACATTTTCACAGTATTTTTAGAAAACATATTGTAGGTTTATAGGAAAGAAGGGATTGAAAATCTTTTTCAAAAGAGGGTATAGCACAATCAAAGGAGAATAGGTCTAAAAATAAAAGATAAAGGTAGCTGAGAATAGAAAAAGGTTATATGCACAACAGGAGAAGAGAAGGCTCAAGAGATATATTGGGGACAGTTTATTAGGTACTACATTTTATACCAGGACACAAGAGTCGGTTTATGGAAAGAGGATTAGAAAATTAAGGTTGGAACCCTCAGAAATACCACTATTTGCTGCTGTCTCAAACAGGAATCAACAAAAGTAAAGGAGAAGATTTAGAAGTTGAGGGAGATTTACTGAAGAGTAGATTCCTACAAATCAAAGGAATAGAGTGCCAATGAGTATCAACTCCAGACAGTTCAAAGAGGACAAGTGTTATAAGTGGTTTATTGGATTTCCAAGTTAGACAGCCATTGTGAAAGATGTTTTGGAAGCACTATAGAGATAGAAACCAGACTATAGTTAAATAATTGAAAGGAGAAGAAGTTGTGAAAAATGTAGATTATTTTCTGAAAACTCAGTTATGAATTAAATGAAAAAAAACCAGTAAGTAGTATCTAGAGGAAAATATTTTTATGACAAGAAAGACTAATGTATTTAAGAAGACTGTTTTGCACTGTTCAAGGCCTGCTATTAGGACCTGGGAAGGAGAGAGAGATGGTTCAGGAGGATTTCACACTCATGTTCTCAGATTTGAAATTTCCAGAATATGTAAGATTGCCCTTGTTTTACCTAGGATATTTATAAATCACATGGTACTAAAATGTAAATGAGTATAAGTAAAATGTAAAATAAAGTGTCAATGATCATGGACAATAAAAAAAAACAGTCCAACTAAGGGAATATGAAATCCTCAGATATCTTTCTAGTGGTCAATTCTCCTCACCAGAGGAGAATTTTGGAAATAGTTTTTAGTCACGGATATCAATTGGCAGTGGTCATGTATTGTTAATGAAAAGTAAGTATGTACTGTTTCATCTAAAAATCTTTACAGGAAACAGGCATTGCTTTCAGAGATACAATATAGTGCTTGCTTTAGTTTTGCTGGTGATATATTTTTATTTTCTTCATAGATTGAAAAACTATTTGAATTGTGCAAAACTTATGCACTTTTGGACTATCCATATAGTATCCAGATCTATGAAGGTGATAGTTTTTTTCACATAGAAATGTTATTACTATAGCCTTCAATTTAAGGAATAAATCTGTTCCTTGAAAGGATTCACTTTGTCTCCTGATGGTCATTTTTACTTATAATTATGTGTGGAATAAAAAGAAAACTCCAAGAGAAGCCTAGAAAAAATAATAAGAACTAGTCTTTTTTAGCATTTATTTGTGGGACATTTTTACATTTATTAAAGTAGATACATTAAATAATATAAAAACAATGTATTTTTTTAAAAAAATAGAATGTTATTTTGACAATGTTTGTACTATTAAATACGTTTTATTGTGAGCTATAGAAATCACTACTACT